AGAGAGAGAGAGAGAGAGAGAGAGAGAGAGAGAGAGAGAGAGAGGAGAGAGAGAGAAAATTGACCTGGAATATATATACATTTTTTCCTCTTCCACCCGTACGCTCTATCGATCTATTCCTCTCTCGCTCTCTTTTTCAGCTTTTCTCTCCGTCTACACTCTGATCCAACCTCTCTCTTTCACTTTTATATATCCCCCCATTTTCTTTTTATTTCATTTCCTGGTCTTTCCCTCGTCGTTTCTCTTTGTCTTGCATTGAGCTTTATCTTTTTCTCCACTGACTCTCTCTCTCTCTCTCTCTCTCTCTCTCTCTCTCTCTCTCTCTCTTTCTCTTTCTCTACGCCTTTTTTCCTCGCTATACGTACAAGTCTCGACTTTTTTTCTCTTTCTACCCGCGCTCGTACGTCCCCCTTTTTCCTGAGAGTTTGTGCCTTCGCATCTCTGACAGTTTTTATCCTTTCTCTCCCTCGCTCCTGCTCTCTTTTTATGTTTACCCAGCTATCTCAGTTTCTTCTTTGTTTCGTCTGTCTCTTTTCGCATAGTTGAACACTTACTCCTATTCATTATTAACATCAGTTAGAAAAATAGCCGGATTGTTGGAACGACATTAATTGTAAAATTTTCAGAATAATTATGATGATTTGCCGTTTGATTATTATCAAAAATAATATCGACTTTGCAATGCCTCTTCTCTTCGATAATATCGCTTTTTTGTTAAATCCCAAACGAGTGATACCGATCTTTCATCAATCTTATGCATTATAATGGTTTTACCATTTAATTAATTTATTCATTAAACAATTTTTATTTAACGACGATGGATGTATTCGATAATTGCTAATGTTAAATCGCTACGCTCGGCTTATGCATGAAAAAAGCCTCGATTATGACAATCCGCTAGTATTTGAACAATATAGTAGGGCGGAATTTTAAACGAACTCTTACGAATTGAAAGATAAATTTTATTCACATGTATTTTAACAAATATTCTATTACGTCCGCCGATTTTTCATTTTTCCTTATCAGCGAAGATTTTTATCGATTCTATTAACGTATTCCCTAGTTATGTCTAATCAAATAATTACACATACATAATGATAATAATGGAAAAATTATGTCGCGTCAACGTAATCTAACAATTTTAACGCAAGATCGTGTATCCTCTTATCCCAAACTCTTGCTCTACTCTCATTGTTAATAGCAATTAAATTGCAAATTCCGAGCGATACTTTTGGCAATCGCATGACGCGCATCGTCACTTATCGAGGCCTTGATTATTAAGGAAATGGATATTCGAAATAAATAAACATGTTAAAGGAAACGTTTTCTTGATTTCCTCGTGCTCGGCACACTTACAATACGCGCACTACGTTTCTTTATTAATAAAGCCGCAAGTGCATTCGAAATAAAGTGCGCCAAATCGGTCAAAATTTTTTTTTTTTTTTTTTTTTTTTTTTTTTTTTTTGTAATTAAACCTATGGAGTAAATACCGGACGATTTAAAAATCGCTTCGCAATGGAATTCCCGCTGCCGATTCCACAGCACCAACTCTCGTTTCACAATGCCACTCATAATTGTCGAAGGGATGACACTCGCCAAAGTCCTTAAATTTCGTCGATAGCTTTACAAAAATTTTCAAATTCACCGCCCACCAACATTTCCCGGCCGACCACTGCACGATCACACTTTACCGCCTTTTTCGACTCACCGCTCCGATAACCGGGAACACGCGACTAGAAAAATTAAACCTCCAACCCAAGGTTCGGTTAATGCCACCTCGTACCGGCCCTCCCCACCTCCCACCTCCCGCGACGCACTCACACAGATAATCCCTCCAATAAGTAACGAACAGCTTATTTTATTATCTGTTCGCAGGTGGTGTTGTCGGCTTGCAGCTCCTACTTTCAGAAGCTGTTGCTATCGAACCCCTGCAAGCACCCGACCATCATCATGCCCCAGGATGTCTGCTTCAATGACCTCAAATTCATAATCGAGTTCGTCTACAGGGGTGAGATCGACGTCTCCCAGGCCGAGCTTCAGGTGAGCGATTTATAATGTAAATCCTCGTTCGCGGCGATATGGTGCCTCTCTGCGAATAAGGCAGGGCTCGTCGTTTGGTAGAGAATGCAGCAAGGATAGTCCTCGGCGAGGCATTGATTTTCATTTTAATTATATTCACCGGAGGAGGGATTATTATTAGCCGATCATCAACCCGACATGTAAATTATAGTTTTGCACTTAAATACCCCGCGAGCTGAACCACCTACGGCTTTTTTCTTTCATTTTTATCTTTCTCCTTTTCAATGAAAATTATACATCACAGTAAGAGTAAATTTTATTAAAACGCCCCAAGTTTGCTTGCCGATGATTACTCTGACACTTTGACCCAGTCGTCGCCTCGTATATTCCAAGATTAGATTTAGATGTTTCGACATGGCAAAGAAGCTTATGCATCGCATATACGAATCTTTTTACATTTATAAAATACAGGGATTGAAAA